TTTCGCTACTTGCCCCGTTTCGATTAGTCTTTAGAGAAAATAGAAGGACCGTTGCAGCTGGGCACGAGCCAGTAAAAAACTGACGGTGCTATCAGAAAAAGGTCTTCGATACCCATTTTGCGCTGGCGCGGTGGGAAGGGTGTGGAACGTGCCAATCTTCTTTCTTGCTGCGTTATCCTGGTCGAAATTTTTTTGGTGATCCAGACTTCCGTGACCGCAATCCATGCACGAAGAGGTACAGTTTTATGTCATCTTATAACCGTTCAGGAAGCTCGACCAATGGTACACCGGGCGAACGTGACATCCGAGTTAGTATGCATGATGCGTCGGCGCAAACGGTTACGTAATTGGACGACGGCCCTTCAACCAATCATATGAGCTATTACCTTCTATAAAACATGCTCTATTTTTTTCAATAAAGATAAGCATTTGCTGCTATCAATTCCTCGTGTATTTCATTGGTGTCCGCAGTTCGGGTTGAAGCCAATTCAGTTCTGAGCAGTACAGTGCGGATTCTCGTATTCCTAAATTCAATACCATTCCGATTATTACAGTTTTCTTCACAGGTTTTGATCTCTGCGTTTTCTTGGCCGAGGTTTTTCTCCCGAGTTTTTGAACACAGAGCCTGGAAGAGAACGGAAGGAAGAAGGTCGAAGCAACCCTTATTGGAGCTGATCGGTGAGGCGAAGACAAACACAATACAAAAAGGGGCAATGTTTTTTTTGTTTTTTTTGTTTTTAATGTCTATGTATGCTTAGAGAGAAAAAACGTAAACCATGGTGGAAAAAGCGATAAAAACGACGACAAAAAGGTTGTTTTGGTTTTGGTTTTTTGCATGCATATATGAATATTCTGGTGAAAGAAAAAATTATCGGCATCGCAGATTAAATGTATTTGTGTAAAAACGTGTTACAATGCAAAACGTACAGGTAATTTAAGGACTCTCCCGCTACTAGTGATCCAATAGGGTGGGTCGGGATCAGGTGCCTGCCCCAAGAGTGTTGCGGGGCTTACCGGGGTGGAGGGAGCAGGACTTGTTGGGACGGGAGTTGCAGGTGGCGCAATGGGAGCGGTGCAAGAGACGGTTTCCTCCAGGTGCGCAGGTTTGAGCCGGTCAATACTGACGGTCTCATGTTTACCGGTGCGCTCTATTACGTAGGCTTTCTCCAAGCGTCGCAGTGCCTTATGTGGGCCGCTGTATTGAGGTTGCAGTGATGCGCGAAAATCTGTCCTGAGGAAGACATGCGAGCTTTCGGCTAAGCTGGGGGGAGGTAGGCCAGGGGTGTTTGCTGGCGAGGTGGTTGAGTATGCAACTGCCGCATACGATGTAATAAACGAGCTGCGTAGTCACCGTAGTTGAAGTCGGTTGATAGAGTCAGTTCCACCATTTCTCCTGGAAAACACAATGTGCGACCGAAAGTCAACTCTGCCGGTGTGGACTGCAGATCAGCTTTGAAGGCTGATCTGCAAACTAAAAGGACCAAGGGTAGAGAATCCATCAAGTCTGGGTTCACCTGTGCTGCCAGAGCACTTTTCAGTTGTCGATAGAGTGGCGAGGCCCACTGGCTTTGCGATGGGCGTATTATACCGGCCTTAAGCATTACGTCAAACTCTCATTTGGCTAAAATCAGCTTGTCCGGAGCTAAACGACGTGCACGACAATGTACGGGTGGGTCGCGTGTGACGATTGTATAGGTAACCGGTGTGGTGACCGGTGGCAAAATTGTAGAAACTGGTTGAGAACAACCTTCTAACAAACGTTGCAACCCAAAATGTAGACCGTTGTTTAAGATGAGGCTTATTGCCAATGCGTCAGTTGCTAAACCGTTCACAGAGTTGGTGCTGTCGAGCAGCAGGCGTCTTCCTGTGTTGACAGTGAGGCCGTGATATGCTAGGAAATCCATTTCAAGAATACGAAAAGGGACCTCAGCAATCAAGAATGGCCACTCAACTACATTAGAGAGGGTAGAATTTACTGTGAGGTTCCTGGTACCAAACGTACGTATTGTGGAACCGTTGGCCGCAGTCAAGGTGAGTGCTTGAGCTGGGAACCTAGCTTTAGTGGAAGAAGGAGGAATGGCGCTCACTTGCGCACCGGTGTCCACTAAGAAATACACACCACTAATGGAGTCCCTAACGTGAAAAAGGCGGCTCCTAGTTTGTGTGCCAACGGTTGACGCCGTAATCAGTCGTCGGCCTAGTCTTTTTCCGAAGGAGGTTGACCTTTCCACGAGCACGGGTGGATGAATTTCGCAACATCCTTACCATAGCGTGCGTGGTACCAACATAACTTCTGATTATTGTTGGGCGACTCAGACCTACGATGAATGCTGGATTGCGGTTTTCCACTAAAACGGGTGCCTGTAGAATTTCTTTCCGTGGTGCAAAACTAGAGGGCACATGTATAAACTGAAGAAGTGGCGCACGAAACTAGCTGTGCACTTAAACTTCTTCAGAAACAGGGTAGTCATTTAATGTTATAAGTTTCCACATGAGCTGGTGGAGCTAGGCAGCATAAATGCTTTCGAAAAGGAGCTCGATAGGTGCTCAACAACACCCGAGCTTATACGTATAGGTCTCAAACCTAAGTTCGTGCAAAAGGAGAACGAGGCGATTCACGAAACGGAGGACGGCTTGTATTGTAACAAACTGCAGAGTAAGAAACAGATACAGAGGCGTGAGCAAGCGCGCGGAAAGTGAAAGCAAACACGTGCTGACCAAATAGGTTGCGTTGGTGTGGTCAAACAATGAGATGCATAGGAGGAAGGGTGCATTTAGAATGGGATGTGGATGCTCGCTACACGGGTTAGTCTTATTTCGCGAACTAGAGTCGTAGGATTAGGCCTTGACTCATTTTCCTTTTTTTTCCGTTTACTGAACACTCCAACAGAGGAACGCTTCCAAATGTGAAGTCTCTGTCCTGAACAAGGGAGGACATTTTCTCTTGTTCCTCTTCCCTTGCTTAGGCGGAGACGACTGGCATGAGCAGGAAGCGTGAAGAGGCCCAAACGTGGCTTACTACTGAATGAACTCTGTATGCTCGATTGGCTTTGGCCATCTCCTGTTCTGTGCACCCGACCTGACCTGATCTGACCGGTAATGGTTTCCTTAAGTACATGGCTGGAGTTGAGACCACAACGAAAATAAACTTCACAGAACCTCATCCGGCCACCATATCTATCCGAAAACACTCGAGAAACAGGCAAATGTATAAATCAAGGGGCTTTGTTCGCCTGTGAATTGTACAATGGGCATCGGACATGGGACTACCTTGGGGGACGAACCGTTGTACCACTTTTCAAGTTTTATCTCTCTTCATCCTCATAATCTATCAAAACACATTTCAAATTCATTTGAGTATTCGAGGCCAATGATCTATGGCCCATTACAGGTGAATCCCCTCAACAAATCTAAAATGAATTTGTTTGAAACCGTACATCAATTAATTGCGCTTGTTGTGAATGGTCTGTTCGTCAATTTAATTCGGTTATGGATAATGTTTTCCTCTCTTTGGCCGGAAATCATTCATTCGTTGAAAACAGAGGATTCCCTGGTAAGGTCTGCTATGTTATAAGTTGCAGTTTCTTGAATGATTTCATCCTAGGCGTATCAGAGTTCGATAGTTTTGTTGCTCTAACATTTAGGTCTGATAACGAGGTTTAGTCAGGTTATAGTTACATAAGAATATTTGAGTATCCGCGGTAAAAAGTTTTTATTTATTTATTCAATGGTTGTTTGGCATGATTCTCACTTAGCATCGTGGACAGATAATACGTCAGCGCTTACTAAATATTGAAAAAATTCACATAGTTGCGTTGAAGTTCCATAACAGGTCCTATACATTTGCTTCCTTCTGCATCTGTATTCACACGTGTTCTAGTATTCTGTTAGTTCAAGCCCCATTTGTTTATCTCCATTTATGATAAATTAGTTCGGATTCCCGCCTGTAGTGGTGGTTTTTACCGTTCGTGTTGTCGTGTCGTGAAACTTTGTCATGAATGCAAACCTGAATTCGTAATCTTTCTAAAGTTTTTATCAACCTTCAATGAATTTACAGTCCAGTGCAGGACTGAACTGGGATTGCTTGTGTGATGGAGCTCGCCACAGTTTATCATTAGTCGGGTGTCATGCTTGCGCTTCACACTACTTGCTTTGTAGTGTTGTCTTCGTGCACATCCACTACCCGAGCCACTCGTACTGTGATTCGCCCCAATCATGAAAGCTAACTGTCTAGTTCGAAGTTTATTAACTAATGAAGCACCTAGGCATACTTCTTGTTAGATACTTGATGCTTGTTTAAAAATCGCATTCCAAGAAATCGATCGTCGGTGCAGACGAAAATGCATTTCACTTCGGCTTTGGCTGCATGCTGTGAATTACGGTCAGTGCCATTTGCACTAAAATGTAATCTAATTACTAAAAATGACAGTAGTTCCGTTAAGTGAAAGATATACTTTACGTGATTTATTTGCCCTTCTGCACGTGATAAGTTTGCACCCAGCTTGTTCACAAACCGTTGATAAATACATACGTCATTCCTGCCGGGCTGAGTGACTGAGCCGTACACCATCACCTATCATTCAATTCAGATTATTCACTGGCACCGGTTTGAATATGCGTTCATCTAGTCATCTTTTTGAAAACAGTCAAGTTAATCACGTAAACCTTCGATTAATGTCATTGAGTAATAACTAGTCGCTTGGAAGGGATTAGTTTTGAGAATGAAATATGATGAGATTTTCTCGTGGCTCCTTACATGAGATCGTAGCGCTCTGGAATTCATATTCAATCTAAAGTTTCTGGCTGTCGATTATTTTAGTTTGAAATGTGCTGTCTCGTGAAGCAATCCACAATTCCTTGGTACTTGATCCATCCGGTTTCATGTGTCAAGTCCATGTGAGTTCGAGGGTATTTTGATCACCCATGTTTGACGATCGAAATAAGGTACGTATTCATTTGTAACTAATCTTAACGAGGTTACCTTATCCTTTCATCTTTTCAGTCATGGTCCAGAACCCCCCATTTACACCGTGGGGCCACTTGTCTTCCACGAGCAACACCAGCGCCAACACTGCGTTTCAAGTCCCTCAACAACAGCAGCAGCCACAACAACAACAACAACCACAACAGCAGCAACAATCAGCACAGCAGTCTACAGGCCTACGTAGCCCAAGTGCCCAAACATCGGTCTCTGTTGGGGGTGTCGGTACTCCACTCAGTTTGACTTCTACTCAAATGCAGTTGAATATGAATCAAACATCTCCTCAGCGACAACTACTGCAACAACAACAGGCACAACAACAAGCCCAGCAGCAGCAATTACATCAACTTCATTTACAACATCAACAACAGCTCCAACTACAACAGCAGCAGTTGCAACTGCAGCAACAACAATTGTTCCGCCAACAACAGCAACAGCAAACACCCCAGCTTTCAATTCAGGGCGGTATTCAACAAGTTCAGCAGTCTGCAGTTGTGCCTAGTGTAAGCTTTGTCATGCAAAATCTCGCACCACAGTTAGCTGAGCTTTCCTCTCAGCATTCTCAGCTAACACAACCTCAGTCGGAAACTTTGCAGGCTGTTGCCAATAAAACTAACTTTCAGAACAAACCCCCGGGGGCTGAAAAAAGCAAGCGGAAATCCAAGTCAAAATCTGCTGCAAACACTGCTAGCACCGCTGGTTCTACTGTTCCGGGATCGATCGCCAGTACTATTCAGTCATCTACGCACTCCACAGAATGTGTCCCTACTTCTGTTCTTGATGTACCTTCCATCAACGGTACCATTTCTGCCTTCTCAGTGCTGAATTCGGTCACATGTAATTCTGTGCCAACTAGCGATAGGACCAATTCACCCCGGGTGAATTGGTCCTATCGGTAGTTGGCAC